AATCGCAAAGTTCACAATCCCTTCTACTCCAGTCTTCTCTCGGAATTTTGGGCACACACACATATGCATCCAGCATAAGTTTTAAGCCAATGAGTCTGGGACTCCAACCACGGTCAGTCGTGTGGGAATCCAGTGATATAACGACTATGCCATCTGCTGGTCCCGGCCCCCAAAAACCTTTTCATAATTACTGGGATGTCAGGGAAGTAGGAATGCATTTTTGCATGGAAAAACAGAAAAATGCATCATGACTTTCCTGATGGCCTAATATCGAGCATCTAAACAAATCTAAATACCAAGGCTAACTCCATTATTGGCTAACCTAATAGTAGAATGTTCATTCCTCTAGCAGTGCCTATAAAAAGCCAATTTTTTAATAATTTATTTATTTTTATACTTTTCCCAATAACATTTACTTCACATTTCAATAAATTTTGCTCATAATCCATAGTTCTTGACAGTTAATAAACAACTTTCAAAATTTCAAAAAAATGGGGACAAGCAGTTGGTGTAATGGCTATGTCACTGGACTCCTATGTAGCTGACTGAAGTTCGAGTCCCAGACCCGATGGCTTAAACTCACGCTGGGCACATGTGCGTGCTTGCCCAAGATCCCAAGAGGAGAATGGAGGACAAGGGATTGTGGTGTGGCCACCCTCCCTGGGGGGTGATTTCTCGCGCTTTCTATCTCTCTGTCTCTCTCTGTCTTTCTGGTGAGTGCGTGCGCCCTACAGCAAAAACCTCTACAAAACAAAACAAAAATGCAATAAGTATATTCAAAATCATTATATGAAAACAGAGGAAATGCATACTAGTGTAAATTTGTGACTGTTACTTATTTCAGAAACTCCCTCTGGATATGCTGATATTAGTGAGTTTTCTTTCAACACAACAGAGGCAGAACATAACATTCTATATTACACTCCAATAAACGCCCAGAAAAAAACACCATAATCATGCTCAAAGATGAACTATTGGGCCAATCTCACAGCCTAGTCATCCAGGGAGCTCAATCTCACACAGATGACTTTGGTTTGAACCCTGGTCCTAACAACTTGCAAAACAAGCCAAATGCGGTTGTTTTCTCCTTCTCCTTCCCTTTGTCTCTTTGGTAATTTTTTTTTTTTTTTTTTTTTTTTTAAAAAGGAACTATTGGAAACCTAATAAAGGACCAGCAGTTAACGTAACGGCTATGTTGCTGAACTCCCATATAGTCGACCATGGTTCAAGTCCTGGGCCTGGTGGCTTAAACTCACGCCGGGAGCGTGTGAGTGCATGCCCAAGATCCTGAGAGGAGAATGGAGGAGAAGGGATTGCAGCATGGCCATCCCCCATGGGGGGAGGGGGGGTGATTTCTTGCTTTCTATCTCTCTGTCTCTCTCTGTCTTTCTGGCGAGCTGTCTCTCGCTGTCTTTCTGGCGAGCACACGCACCCTATACCAAAAAAAAAAAAAAGAGAAAAGAAACCTAATGAGATAAACTGCTGGTGGTTTTACCCATAAATGAACAGTAAACTGTGAGATGGACAAAAAAATTTAATAAATTTAAAATTCAAATTACCGTATTCCTATCAATTCAGTATGTGTATAAATATAGCTTTCTATCCAAGGAGATAAGACAAACTATACCCTGCAAAACCCCACTCACACAGTACCAACTGTGCAATAACTGTATCCAGGATTGGCTAGGTATAGGGCAAAATGTTCAGAGATTTTTTTTAAAAAAAAGAAAGAATGAAATTAGAAGATGATGAATTAATTTCAAGAGAGTAACTAACAGTAGAGCATTAAAGCACGTGTTTCTGAGAGCAAGTCCCTGTGAGACTACAGAGGTCATATACCCATGAAGCTAACTCTGTCTACACCATTTCATAACTGGCCCCAATGGAATTTTGAAGATTTCAAATACGAGGTATTTGATTATCACATGCCAGATTTTTAATAAGCATGCAAAAGATTTATTTCTAGTTTACACAGTTGCCATTACCTAAACTTATTTAAGTACCATCAAATAGAACAAAAACAGGAAAAGCTTACTCCAAGATAAGACATGGGAAAGACTTTAGGACAACATACACTAGGACCAGCAGGTGGTATGGTGGTTGGGGCACTTGACTCCTACATGGCCGACTAGGGCCTGGTGGCTTGCTTCGTCACTTTCCCTCTTTCTGCCTCTCTGGTGAGTACATGTGCCCTAGGGAAAATTAAATAATTCTTTTTAAAAATGTGCTATAAACTTTAATACTACTTTTGTTTTGTAGTTTTTCACATAGGGTACATGCACTAGCTAGAGGGAGACAGAGACTAAGAGAAAGGGAAAGTGAGAAGACACCCCCCTAGAAGATGGCCACATCACAACTCTTTCTTTTCCAGTCTCTTCAGAATTTGCGGCATGCACGCACATGTGCCCAGTATGATTTTCAAGCTGCTGGGTCTGGCACTTGAACAGCAGAGTTGGACACATGGAATCCAGTGCCTTAAACGCCATGCTACCTAATGACCAATACTATTTTTTAATTTTTTGGGTAAGGTTTTTGCCATAGAGTGTATATGCTCGCTGGAGAGAGACAGAGACAGAGAGAAAGTGAGAAATCAGCCCCCAAGGAGGACAGCCATCTTGTAATCCCTTTCCCTCCATTCTCCTCTAGGGACTTTGGGCAACCCCATACAAGTGCCCAGTGTGATTTTCAAGCCGCTGGTTCTGGGACTTGAACCAGAGTTGGCCATGTGGGAGTCTAGACCCTTAGCCACCATGCCATCTGCTGGCCCCACAATACTATTTTTTAAGACATGCTATGAAGGAAATATTTGATGCGACTAGCAGTTAGCATAATGGCTATGTTGCTGGATTCCCATGTAGTCGATCGCGGTTCACGTCCCAGACCCGGTGGCTTAAAACTCACGCCGGGCGCATGTGCATGCATGCCTAAGATCCCGAGAGGAGAATGGAGGAGAAGGGATTTTGGTATGGCCATCCCCCTGGGGGGGTGATTTCTCTTTCTATCTCTGTCTTTCTGGTGAGCGCACGCACCCTATAACAAAAACCTCTCCCCCCCCCAAAAAAACGGGGAAATATTTGAAATGTGAACTTTACATTACCTCATACAAAGGCATGTGAACACACACTGTCCAAATTCAAGTTCCTATATACACTGAGTCTTTCAGCACTCTGCTAGTGGCCCCTTCTCTTGCCACTATTAGAACCATTAGAATTATGCTTAGTTCCACCTATCATCTAAGTCAGATCTAACAGAAATACCACATGAACATATATGCGCATGTAAGTTTAAATTTTCTAGTAGCTCCATTATAAAAAAGTTAAGTGAAAACAAACTGGTGAAACTAAATTTAATTATGTTTTATTTAACCTAATATACCCAAACATCACTATTTCTTTTGGTATTAAGTCTTCACAATCCAGTGAGTGGGACTAGTCGATGGCATAATGATTACACTGCTGGACTCCCACATAGTTGATTGCTGTTCAAGTCTGGACCCAGTGGCTTAAAAACTCACCCTGGGCATGTGTGCATGCATACCCACAATCCAAGGAGGATAATGGAGAAAGGATTGTAGCGTGGAAACCCCCACTGGGAGGTGATTTCCTACTTTTTGTCCATCTCTCTCTCTCCAGAGAGCATACATGCCCTACAGCAAAAAAAAAAAAAAAAAACACTCTTTTAAAAACAAAAATGTAGTGAGTACTTTATATTGATAGCACATCTCAATTTGGACTGGCCATATTTCAAGTGTTCAAGGGTCACAGGTGGCTGCTGTATTGGGAAGAGCAGCTACAATGATATGATTACTACAATTATGACTCTAAGTCTCTCTCCTGGTACTAAAATAGCTCCCCACTCCCATTTTCCACAGTCTAAGTCAATCATTAAGAACCTCTTTTAGGGAGCCAGAATGTAGCACAGTGGTTAAGGTGCTAGACTCCCAAATGCTGACCACAGTTCAAGTTTCAGACCTGATAGCTTGCTTTCTCACCCCACCCCGCCCCCATGTCTGTCTCTGTCCATCTGTCTGTCTGTCTGTCTGTCTCTCTCTGGTGAGCACACATGCCCTATAGCAAGTTAAAATAATAAAAAATAAAATAAAATAAGTAATTCTTAAAAAAAAAAAAAGACACCTCTTTTATATAAGGGCCTGTGTGGGTGGTAAGAAAAATTATGGACTATTTTTCTTTTCTTTAAATACAAACATGCAGTAGAAATCATATACATATAATTCTAAAGAATTATTTTATTAAACTTTTCTTTCTTTCTTTCTTTCTTAATTATTTTGACCAGAGAGGGACTGAGTGAGAGAGAGAGAAAGAAAAAGTGAGAGAACAAGCAGCCAAGTCTGGGATTCGAACCATGGTCGACTATGTGGGAGTCCAGCACCCTTAACCACCACTCCACCTACTGGCCCCAGAAATCATATATATTCTTAAAAATACAACCACTCAGGCAGACATTCTTCAACTCATAAAAAGTAGATTGCAAGAAAACTGGAATTAATTTTTATCATTTAATATCTAGGAATAATTGAGAAATCTCTCTGAAAAATATCTAGGAATAATTGTAGCAACAAAGAAGTTTTTAAATTCTTGAAATAATGGAAAAAGCTAGATCTCAAATCAGGAGGGGCACAAGAGAATTATTATTGATTTAGATATAGTTAGCAAAATTTGAGAATAGGTTCATATCTCTGGAAGTTTATTTCATTTTAAAAGCCAAATGAAAAATATTTTACAAGGAAGAAAAAAGCCTAGGTCACTTAAGAGATGTTGAAAAATGATGATAACTAATTAATTCATTAATATGGGGGGGACCCTAAAATCCTCACTCATCCTGGAGAAAACTAAGCCCACATGGCCTCCCAAGACAACAAAAAATCTTGCTTATTCCTCGAGCAACAAACACAATTACACCAAACAAGCATGTTGGGAACGGGACATACTAAAAGCAAATTAAGCTGCTGTAAGGCTGTTCTTACTGGTTCATCTACTCACGCAGGGTTTAGACGTCCAGACACTTACAGTCTCCGGACTTCTCCTTAGGCTTGGTTCACATATGTGGGGAAACTTAGCTAGGCAGTGTCTGACCAGATCCAAATGGAGAACTGCTATGTTCAAGAAGGGTTTGGTGGTTGTTCACCAGCATGCTGACAGCTGTATGCCATTAAAAAGGGGACAAGAAGGAAAATATCTATAAATAGAAGAACATACAATCACTCTGATGGAAGGTTACCTCTCCACGTTTTAAGTTAATGATATACTCTGCTCACCTGAGAGCAAAGCCCTAAGGAAACTATAATTTTCATAGCACTAGCAGAAACAAGGAATACAAAAAAGTAAAAAAAAACGGTTGGCCCTTGAAACCAATTTTCACAAAGTCCTAAGGATAAATACGATAAAATAGCTAGAGAGTTCACTTAGTAGTTGCTTCTCCATTCTCAGTTAAGGCATCAATTTCATAGAGGCAGCTGCGCCCTCGATCCCGGCACCCCTGGACTAAGTACAATAAAACAATTCTTGGAGTGCCTAACAGAGATCATAGATTTCTTTAGAGAAGGCCAATACAAACTTAGAGCCAGTTTCATTGTATTTGCTCTACAACTACTTCTTCCAAACAAATTATCAAAAGCAATAGCTTTCTACCACCCAGGTATTACTGAATTTTTCTCAGTTTTAATTGGTAACTTCTTTGAAATTTCAGCTTTTGGTGATAATAGTTAATAAAGGAATCAAGTCCACTTAGTATGCACCATATTAATCCACAAGTACTTTCTAAGCATTAATGTGCACTGTACTGAGGAACACAGGCGTAATAAGAGAAGTGGTTCCTACTGCTTTGACAAACACAGTGAGGTGGAGACCAGAGAAAATACAGAGAAAGGAAAGCATAAACCCTGAGCCTGGTCCACAGACGAGAGCCTGGCCAGAAAAGATTTCATTATACATTAAACTTGTGCTAGGTCTCAAAGGATGGGAAGGATTTCATAGCTGACAGAAAAGAAAAAGTATTCCAGGTCAGGAGACACCTGCCTGAAAGCAGGCAGATACAGTAGCTTCAGGAAACTCATGACACAGAGAAGGCGCTAATGATGAGAAGAAAGAGCCTTTGGGGAAGTAGCAGAATCAGCTAGCAACAAGAGGTCAGATTTCAAAGGGGTGTACATGAAAGTGTAGCACAACACAGGCTTGCTGCAGGAGCAAAGAATCGGTAAGGTTTTTTTTTTGTTGTTTTTTGTTTTTTTTTCTGGGAGAGAGATTTTTGCTATAGGGCGTATGCTCTTGTCGGAGAGAGAGATAGGAACAGAGACGAAAAGTAAGAAATCATCCCCTAAAGGGGATGGCCATGCCACAATTCTTTCTCCTCTTGAGATTTTGGGCAGACATGCACACACCTGGCTTGAGTTTTAAACCGCCAGGTCCAGGACTTGAACCATGGTGGACTATGTGGGAGTCCAGTGACATAACCATCACACCATCAGCTGGTCCCAAGAATCAATAAGTTATAATGAAAAGAAATGTGTATTAAAATACCTATCTAGAGATTAAGCAAAATATTTTAATGATACATAGGAAAAAATCTGAACAGAAGTATAGAGGAAGCAACACAGAGGAGATGACAATGAACTTGTATAAAGTACACTCTCAACAGAGGATATACACCTCTACAAAAGTGAAGAGGGTAAAAGGACAGACCCATTCTGAGTATGGCCAAGTATCTGAATGGGATTGAAAGGTGGGCCAAGAAGGGAGCAGCTATGGTGAGGAACAGGAGAGGGTAATACAGAGTACTATTCACCATGCTAATTAACACTGCACTCATCAGGGGCTAGGTGGACGAGCAGCAAGAACAGATCTAAATATGTAACCTTGAACAATATGAAGACCAGTCTGGTAGTATCCAGTTAAGTGCTGTGCATGTGGAGCCAGACCACATGGCCAGTTGCAGTTCAAATCCCAGCCCCAGCAGCTTCAAAGACTGGGCCCACAGGTGTGCACACTCCAAATCCTGACAGATAAAGAAATGGAGAAAAGAAGATTGTGACATATCCCCCACTAGGGGGCTGTATTCTCTTTCTCTGGCAATAAATATTTAAGGGATATATATTTTTTTAAGTGAGAGATAGATTAGGAAGAAATTCTTTTTTTAATTATGTTTTAATTTCACTTATTATTAGTTTTTAATTTGACTAGAAAGAGACAGAGGGAGAGAAAGGGAAAGCGAGGAAACAGCCACCAGGTCTGGGACTTGAACCTTGGTCAGCCATGTGGTAATTCAGCGCCTTTAACCACCATACCACCTGCCAGCCCAAGGAAGGAATGATTCTAACAAGTGACCAATCCAGAGAAGATAGCAAGGCCCTTCAATAGCCTCTACTTTGAAAACCAAGGTATCCCCTAACAGATTTCACATTAAATTCCCATTTTACCTCCAATGTCAAACATAATTCTACCTTCTCAAAAATCTAGTTTTCACTTTTTTTTCATTCCTGCACTGTACTTTGGTATCAAATAATATAAACTCATAGCTTGCCTTTGGAGTTCTGAGCTACCCAGAAAACACAATTCTCAGAAAGTAAATGTCTAACCCTGGACCAACTCTAAATATAACGCTAAGATTCTATGACCAAATCAAGAGGTGTAATCTTATCATCCACTTCACTCTAATATTTAAAAAGTCAACCACCACACAAGAAAAATCCAACCTAATTTTTGTCAGCTAGCTCAAATTAAAGCAAGTCCAGTATGAGTTCTTCTACAAATTCTCGTTACGATAACTTGACAGTATATGAAACGCTGTGCCTATTTTCTAAAATGTGAAAAACTTCAAAGTATATGTAAAGCATAAGTTATTTTTTTTTTAATACTAAGAACACTTTTTTTGGGGGGGGAGGGTTGTTGTTTTTTGAGAGAGATTTTTGCTATAGGGTTCATGCATTCACTGGAGAGAGAGAAATGAAGCAAAAAAACAACCCCGGGGGGGACAGTCATACTGCAATCTCTTTTTCTTTATTCTCCCTTTAGGATTTGGGGCATGCACACACACACACACACACACACACCCAGCATGAGCCTCAAGCTGCCGGGTAAAGGACTTCAACCATGGTTGACTAAGTGGGAGTCAAGCAATACAACCACTATGCCATCTACTGGTCTCAAGTTTGTTTGTTTGTTAAGTGAGACTGATGAGTTGGGAAGGAGAAAAGGCAAGAAATGAGAGTTATTATTTATTAATTAAATAAATAATTTTTTTCTTTAAAAAAAAAAAAGATCATTAGGTTTTTGCCGAGAGCCTTGTTAAAGATCAAAGGAACACAGGCAGGAAAACCACAGCTGGATCAGAGTTTGCCTATGTGTGTGAGCCAGGTAAGACAGTATGAAGAAAGGGAATTCTATACATCCTAGGATGATTCATAAACTTCATATAACTTGAATTTTCTAAGTGACAACTTTGATGAATTGGATTTTTGCCATGTCTTCCTCTACTCCATGGTTGTATAGAATTCCCTTTCTAGTAGAGCAGTTTTTATACCATTCCTTATTTGCTCATGACCACCCTAACTCCTTGAACTTTGAGAAACTTTGAGAACTCAGAAACTTTTTTTGTGTTGTAAATAATAGACACACTAATCAATAAACATGTTTCTTCCCTTTTCTTAAAAAAAAATCATTATTTATTTAATTATTCTATTTGTTGTTATTGTTTAATTTGACCAGAGAGGGAGAAAGGGAATAGGAGAAAAGCAAACTGCCAGGTCCGGGACTCGAATAGTAATCAGCCATGTGGGAATCTCCTGCCACCACACTACCTGCCACCCCATGTTTCCTCTTATTCTCCAGTTACCTGTCACTTCCTGATATTTGGCTCATTTGTAGACTCCTGTCATCCTGGTTTCAGAGATTTGGAGAATCTTTTATGCTTCAGCTGGAAAGTCCACTTTGAAGGGTTCATAACAATTTACAGATTTGACTTTGATTTTCTTCATACTGTCCACTTTATGCTTTATCTTCATCTTCAATCTTCTTGTCTAGCAAACTTTGATCTTATACATAATTGTAAGTATTCATGGCTATCTCAACACTCTCCAAAGTAGCAATAATAAACCCCTAACCCTCACAAAGAATTTTCTTGTGTAAAAATGAAATGTGCAAGATACATACATTCATGAACTGCCGAGACTGCTCAAAATTGAAAAGTTTAGACCAGCAGATGGCATGGAGGTTAAGATGGCTGGAAGCCAAATAGCCAACTGTGCAGTTTGAATCCCATACCTGGCAGCTTGAAAATCATGCTGGGCATGTGTACATGCATGATCCAAATCCTAAGAGTGGAGAAGAGACTGCGATATAGCTATGCTCCCTGGAGAAGTGATTTTTCAGTTTCTCACTGTCTCTGGGGAAGTGCTTTCTCAGATTCTCACTCTCTTTCTGTTGAGTGCACACACCCTTTAGCAAAAACTAAAACTAAAACTAATAATAATAATAATAATAATAAAATAAATAAAAGTTTATTGTAGAGTATGAGTGGTGAATAGTCCTTATGCTCTTATAGCTCTTTATGGAAAATAATTCTTACTCTTACAGCTACTCAACAATAACATTAGCTGTCTCAATATTGCAACTTTCTATTAAAGGTGGAAACATGAACACAACCAATTTTTAAGTAACTATCATATAGCCAGATACTGGGTTTCCTGCTATTAGAATTGTTTAGATACTTCACATTCTTTAAGATTTTTTTTTTCTCATTTTGCAGTTGGAAAAACTAAGATTCTGAGAGGTCAGATAGCCTAGCAAAGATCAGAGCTTATAAATATGCTAGCCAAAATGGTGACTCAAATTCAGGCCTGACTAGCTCTACAGTGTGTGCTCTTCCAATTACACCACATGTCTCTATAAGACCAGTATAGGAAGCTGCTGAGCAACTAGTGAAATAACAGTAACAAGGAACACTACCAGCCCTAGCCCAGCGTCACAAAAAGAAGTACTAATGAAACAAGAAATCTGGCCTATAAAAGCTCAAAAAGCAGCACTGCCTGTGGAAAAGGAAAGGTCTGCCAAAATTATAAGCCTGCCACCTCCTCCTCCAGTTCTTCTTGAGAACACTGAAGCAATGAAAATGTCTTCATTGAAAACTAATAGGTTTACTTACCAAT